CTCAGTGGGAACGGAAGGCCCCTCATAAACCTGGCTTGATCGGGCTTGAGAAGTCCTGTAAGTCAAATATTCCAGCCTGGTCTTGGGCGGCTCTCCTCACCTCTCTGAATCCTTTCTCATTTGAAAAGTGGGAGCAGCAGGGCACCCCACACCAGGTAAGGCTGCTTAGATACCAATAGCTACATATGACAGCAAGGATTGTTAAACACACATGCATCCCCCCCCCCCCCGCCCCCCCCACCCCCCCCCCCCCCCCCCCCCCCCCCCCCCGTGCCAGTCCTGGGGCTTGAATTCAGGGCCTGGGCATTTTTCCCTGAGCTGCTTTTTGCTCAAGGCTAGCACTCTACCACTTGAGCCACAGCACTACTTCTAGCTTTTTCTGTGTATGTGGTACTGAGGAATTGAGGAATTGAACCCAGGGCTTCATGCGTGCTAGGCAAGCACTCTACCACTAAGCCACATTCCCAGCCTCTTTCTCTTTTTTCTTTCTTTTTTCCCCATCCAAAAGTAGGGCATGATCTCTAGGCCTGGACGCTGTCCCTCAGCTCTTCAGCTCAAGTCTAGCGCTCTACCACTTGAACCAGACACAGCTCCACTTCCATCTGTGTGTATGTGGTTAATTGGAGATAAGAGTCTCATGGACTTTTCTTAGGCTGGCTTTGAACTACAATCATCAGATCTCAGCCTCTTGAACAGCTTAAGACTTATAGGTACGAACCACTGGCACCTGGCTAAACTTTTCAAGTCATTGCTATATTGCTCCAAGATAACCCCAAACTCCTGGCTCCGTCTCCAGGAACTGGAACTAGCGGGTCCACAAAGTCCCTGCATTTCATCTACTGAGTCCCAAGTCTCAGGTCCTGGAGCTTGTTTTCCAGATAGAAGAGACCAGGAGGAAAAGGAGCCCTGATGAACATCAAGGCTGCCTCTTACCTGCCTGCTACTAGTGTTAGCCTAAAGCCAGGTATGCTGGTAAGGGTTTAACAGGCTGTAATCTTCACCACTTGGTGTTAGTATTATGCCCAGCTTTGGTCCTCACCTCCACCCCCCCCCACCCCCCCCACCCCACCCCCCCCCCCCCCTGCCATTCTGCCCAGACCCACCTGAGCTCCCATCTACCTCGCTTCCTACCCTCAGACTCCCCTGCTACCAGGATACGGACAGGTGCCATTGTGTTCCCTCTTAGGGGAAATATGGCTCCTCTAATAAACCTCATAATAATCTTTCTCCTGTGCCTGCCTGCCTCCGCGTGGTCCCTTGGGATGAATGTGAGGGATCCTTCACTTGGGAAGCTGAAGCAGGAGGATCTCAGTTCAAGATCAAGCTGGGGGGCTGGCAAAGGTGGCTCAGTAGTAGAGTGCATGCCTCGCACGCATGAAGCCCTGGGCTCCATTCCTCAACACCACATAAACAGAAAAGGCCGGAAATGGTACTGGGGCTCAAGTAGTAGAGCGCCACTAGCCTTGAGCTGAAGAGCTGAGGGACAGCGCCCAGGCCCACAGTTCAAGCCCCACGACCAACAAAAAAATAAATAAAAGATCAACCTGGACTACAAAATGAGAGCTTCTATGTGTGTGTCTGTGTGTGTGTGTGTGTCTGTCTGTCCTGAGGTTTGAGCCTTGAACTCACAGCCGGGCACTGTCCCTGAGCTTCTGTTGCTCAAGGCTAGCACTCTACCACTTGAGCCACAGTGCCATTTCTGGTTTTCTTTTGTTTTTGTTTTTTGATGATTATTTGGTGATAAGAGTCTTACAAATTTTCCTACCCAGGTTGGCTTTGAACTTTGATTCTCAGATCTCAGCCCACTGTGTAGCTGGGATTACAGGCATGAGTCATTGGCAACAAGTGAGACCCTGTCTTAAAAAACAAGAAAAAGATCAAATACAAACAAGGGCCTGGTAGAGCATTTGCCTAAGGGATAGAAGGGCATGGGTGGTAGAGTTAGCCTATTAATAATAGATAGCAGGGGCTGGGAAGGTGGCTCAGTGGTAGAGTGCTTGCCTCACATATATGAGGCCCCTGGGTTGGATCCCTCAGCACCACATAAACAGAAAAAGCTGGAAGTGGCACTGTAGCTCAAGTGGTAGAGCCCTAGCCTTGAGCTGAAGAGCTGAGCGGCAGCACCCAGGCCCAGAGTTCAAGCCCAACAATGGACAAATAATAATAATAATAATAGATAACACTGGCCCATTGAGAGTTAAGGGAGATGTATATATGCATGCATGTATATGTACACATGCAAGCATACATATGCAGGCCTGGGGCTTGAACTCAGGAACAGAGTGTGTCCTTTAGCTTTTTCTGCGCAAGGCTGGCATGCAACTGCTTGAGTCACACTTCCATTTCCAGTTTCTTGGTGGTTAACTAGAGATCAGAGTCTTTAGGACTTTGATGCCCAGGCTGCTTCCAACCTTGATCCTCAGTTCTCACCCTTCTGAATAGCTAGGATTACAGGAGTGAGCCTCTAGCATCCCAGGGCAGATGAGTCAAAGAGCTTAAAGTAGTTCTTCGCAGATAATAAATGCTCTTAAGAAGTGTTTTGTTGTTGTTTGTTGGTGGCACTGAGGATAGAGCTTAGTGTTTGTCGGGCAAGTCCTCTAACCTCCGATCCTGTTTGCAAAATAAAACAGGGCCCAGGGAAATTCAGAGTTTCCCCTCCACGACAGCTCCTCACCAAGTCCTGTCCAGGAGGGGGTTAAGGCGTTAATGATTTCCAAAGGAGCAGGGCTTTGTGGGCACACACAGACTTGCACACACAAGGACACACACACACACACACACACACACACACACACACACACGCACGCACCCCAGCAGCGGCCTCTGTCCCCCTCCTTCCACAGCCAGGCCCTCGAGCCTCTTATGCAAGCCGCCGGCGCCCGCCCGTTCCCAGGCCCGGCTGCAGCTGCGGGCGGAGGGGCAGGGCGGGGGCGGCGCGCTGTTTGTCTAGCGCGGCCGTGCCAAAGACGGCGGGCCCCAGACAGCCAGGCGCCTCCGTACACCTGGGGATGCTCAGGTTAAATAGCTCCGCATTCCTCGGGCCCAGCTGATGGAAACGCTCCCAGGCCGCCGCCGAGCCGGCCTCCAGATGGGCTGGGCTCGGGCCAAAGGGGAAGAGAGGGAAACGTGGAATCCAGAGTGCGCCTGAATGGCGGGGGAGGTGGCCAAGGCCCCGCCGCAGCCCCTTCCTCCGCTGGAAGGAGGCCCAGCCGTGTAGGAGTGCGCGCAGGGGAGACGCCCCCGTCCCCGTGGGTGGGCTTGCGGGGTGGAGGGGGGCGCACGTGGGCGGGAGTGGGTGCACACGTGCGCCTCCGAGGACACTCCAAGGACACGCAGGCTACTATTAATAATAATTTATAACCATCCAACAGTACGTGCCAGGCACTGAGCTTAAACCCTCTGCTGGATTTCATCTGTTCTGGACATTTCTGTGGTCAGCTGTGCACAAACAGCAGCCAGGTAGGGAGGGAGGAGCAAAGGAATTACCTACCAGTAGTTATGTTGATAAGAGCGAGATACTGAATGCTGGGGCCCAATAAATTTTATGTTTTGCTCACCCTTGCTGGGCTCATCAGAATCCACCCTTCAGCCTCGCCGGAACCCACCAAATCCTTTACATAAAGGGTGTGCATAAAGGGTTGTAGATGCCATTTATTCTGTTTATTGAGAAACTATATTAATAGTCCTCCCTTGGGTGGGTGAGACATTCTTTGCCCTTCCTGAGACTGTTTCTCCACATGTATTATCAGGGAAGATGACCTGGCAGGGACACTCGAAGGTTGGTGTCCTCAAAGTCGAATAATTGCCCAGGAAGTTGGTACTTAGGTTTCGAGGAAGGGTTTGTCTAAGCACAGCTGCCCTGGCTTACCTGCAGTGGCCCTGCCAGCAATGCCAAGCCATCTGCAGAATAATTGCACATACGGGAACCCAGTGTGGCCTGGTGACCCATCCCAATCTCACCCCACCAACAACTCCACTAACCCAGACTGGTGCGCATGCTCACCGTACATCTAGACAAACCTACAGTGCAGGAGGTTGCACACTTCTCTAGCGCACACATGTTCTTCAGCATTCACCTCCAAGCATGTCCTTATTCACACACCCAGGCCTGTGCATATGACCCAGCCTCAGGGTGGTGAGGGCTACGTTTACTCCCACTACAACAAGTCCAGGCACCTATGCACTCCTCCTTTTTTAAGTACAAGCTCACATGGCCAGGCAGACAGGCCCCTGCCAAGGACACCTTTTTCCTGCTCAGGAGCTGGGGACATGACTCGCCCACTCCTCTTCAGAGCCCACACAGTAGCCCCAGGGAGATGGTGGTTTGAGCTGTGCTGGCAGAGTAGGGCTAGGGTGAGGGGGTAGAGTCCAGAGCCAGAGCAGGTGGCCCAGCAGCTGTGCACAGTCTGGCCTTGCCAACTTGATCACCCACTTGGACAAGCCAGGAGCCCCAGGGCAGCCTGCTGGCATGCAAGGGGAGGTGCCTGACTTGCTAGGGGGAGATAGCTCCTAGTAGTGAAGGAGGTGACCGAGAAATCTGGCTTCAAACAAGACTCTTGAAGCAAGTCAAAATAAGTTCCCTCCACTGGGCCTCAACTCCCCCCCACCCCCCCCACACCTCGGCTCTGGAGGCAGATGTCCCAGTGACTCGATTCAACGTAAAAAGCTTTGAAAAGTCCCTAACCCAGAGGGGGCCTTAGCAGGTTCATCTGCATTTAACAACCTCCCCAGGTGATCCAGATGGCCAGGGAATCACTTTGAGAGAAACACAGGGTCTAGAGGATTTAATTTTATGACACTAGGGAGCAAGGAAATGGCCAAGGATGGCGAGGAAATAATAGACATTAAAGACACCGGAAACACTCTTTCAGGTCTGTAAGATCGACAGTCCAGATGTGGCCCTCCAGTGGTCTCCTCCCAGCGCCAGCTGTGAACAGGGTCAGAGGTCAACCCCAAACCCCAGCTCCTCCCTTCCCCTTAACTCAAGAAGTCAGGGCAACTTTTCCATTAAAGTATTTGTTTAATAACAACAAGCCACCCCCCCCCTCCCCACAGAACTATTGTAAAACAATATGCTCAGTCCATGATCATTGTAATATACAATACAAAACAATTTCCTCAGAAATCTGAGAAGCACCAAACGTGACCATTTTTTAAAATGCTTTTCAAAAAATAGAAACACACGAGGGGAGAGGTACTCTCCCCCCACCCAAAGTCTCTTGAGAGATGGTAGGTGTGAAGAAGGCAGTCGGCCTGCCCTATTTTCTCCAGCCCGGAGCCCGAATCCGGCAAGGGCAATGGCCACCGACGGGTCTTGTTTTCTCTCCCGACTCCAGCACGGTGTTTAGGGAGGACGGAGAGCCCATACTCCTCTGGCCTCCTGGAGGGCTGGGGTCCAACTGTCCCTGAGCGCGGCGCTTTAGCGGCACAAGATGCGATCGTCCGCCGGGACACAAGCCGCCTGTGAAAGAGAGAGAAGAGATGAGTCGCGCAGGTTGCAGGAGACAAGAAAGGGGAACAGGCGAGTCCCCCTCCTTGCCCAGGAGACCCAGTGGGGTAGGGCACACACCTTCCGTTCTAGGTGTGTGGGGGGGCATCTTTAGAGATGATCGCCCAAGACGGGCATAGGACAGAAATCTCCATTTTCTTCTCTGGCCTCAGTTTCCCCAGCGACAGGATAATGTAGTAAGTACTCCAACCTGGAACTCACCTCGGCCGCCAGAGCACCGATCTCGCCATTGAGGGTGCTGAGCGGGGCGCGGACAGGGAGCCCCCGGCCCCCGGGGGTCCCCACTTCGGATTCGGAGTTCAGCTCCAACTGTAGGTCCCTGATGTAGTCGATGACGTGCTGGAGGATCTCGACTTTGCTCACTTTGCGGTTCTGGGGCAGGGTGGGCACCAGCTCCTTGAGGCGCGAGTAGCAGCCGTTCATGTCGTAGAGCAGCACGTTTACCTGCTGCTCGTCCAGCAGGGCGGGCAGGCGCGCGCCGGCGCCCCCCGCGCACCGCGAGATGGCCACGCTCTGCTCCGACAGGCAGCGCACCACCTCGCCCGCGCCCCCCGCCGTCTTGCCGGCCTTCAGCGCGCAGCTGGGGCCCGCGGCGGACGCGGCGCTACCACTAGCGACCTTCATGATCCTGGCGATGAGCGACGAGAAAACAGGCCGGGAGGACGGAGGCGACGGCCACCACGCGCGTGAGGAGCGAGAGGAGAACGAGGAAGACGGCGGTACAAGGCGAGAGCCGAGCGCCCCAGCCGCTCTTTTATAAGGATGCCGCCCCCCCCCTTCCCGAGGGCGGGCTCACAACGTTCAAAAGCAGCCAATGGGAAGCCCGGGGGCGTGCCCTCGTGTGTTTCCCGGGCCCCGCCCCCCGCCCAGCCAGTGCAGCCTGGCGTGCCAGCGAGTCTGTCTGCAGAACCCAGAGGGTGGGAGGGCACCGGGCACCGAGGCTGCGGAGGCGAGAGCAGCCTGCGGCTCTGGGGTAATAGGGAGGCACGGAGGCTAAAGCAATTTGGCGGATAAGGAAAAGACCTCAGCCGTATATTTTCCCTTGTTCGCTTTCTGACCTCTCCAAGCTTCCATTTTACAGATGAGAGAAACTGAGGTTTGGGGGAAGAAGTGGCTGAGGTCTGCACCGCTCAGGAGCCAAGCTTTCCAGATCCTCCTGGAAGATGGCCTCTGATCTCCAGACATTAGGGCCAAAGTTTAAAGCGGTGCTCAACTCCTGGGGCTCGTCTTTCTCAAATGCCAAAGCAATAATACTGCAGTTCAGGTGCTTGGAATCCTAGAACCAGGATCCAGGTCCCTGGAAGAGGAAGCGATCCATGCGGGAAAGTGTTCCAGTAAGACGCGGAGTCTCCTCTCTCAACTGGACGGAAAGCCTCGTGCGGAAGTAAATTGGCAGCCCCTGCAAAACAAAGCTGCCAAACGGCATCGCCTAGAGATTTTGCTTTTCTTTTAAAAGCTGGGTTCTCTGCCCCGCCCCCCCCGCAAGACCTCGGAGCGGGGTCTCCCTCCCACGGCGCGGCAGCTGCGGAGATCCAGTCCCCCTGCCCCGCCCCCCCGCATCCCCCTTTTCCCGGGCTGGTCTGTGTCAGCGTCTGAACAAGCGGCTCAGACCGTTAGACGCCAGGGCCGTGACGTCACCCATTCATAAAACCCGGACGAGCTGTCAGGCTGGCGCCGCGCGGGCGGTCGCCATGGAGACGGCAAACTGGGCTGGAGCGTTCTTCGCCCCCCCCCCAGCCCCCCTTTCCCTCTGCGGGTCACCTGCAGACCCCGAACGGGAGGCCTGGGAATGCGTTCCTCTTGGGCGCGGTCGCTGGGCAAGGGTCACCTTACTTCCCCGCCCCACACCTGCGGATTGTCCCCCACCCAGCCCCACAGCTTGGGCGGCCCGGGAGGTTTTCTCATACCCTCCCCCCATCCCACCCCCCAGCTCTCCCCGGCGCCGGAGGAGAGAGGCCGGAGCGGCCATTGCGACGCTGCCTGCTGGAGGAACGCGAGCAGGTCGCCCGCCCTCTCTGAGCCCTGCTCCTTCTGGCTCTCTCTTGGCGCCCCTACTGTGTGATGTTTGCCTTTAACGTCTGTAGTTCTGGCCACATCTCAGAACACAGGTGCTACTTGATTTCTGGCCAAAAGAGGAAACTGGGACTTAAAAACCCTCTCACGAGCCAGGGCCACAATACAGGCAGTTGAGTTACTACACGGACGTGGTATTGTCATGCAGCCATTTCTTCCTAGGGCGGACAGCCCCTAGACGTGTCATCAGCTGGGAAACTAACATGGGATCTCTGTGATCTCAAAGATCAGGGTCTCAGACCCTAGGCCTGAGACGGTGATCCAGAGGTAAGAACTCCACCTGCCCCCCTAGCAGTTCATCAGTGGCCATCTGAAGCTTTCCTTTTCCCACAGATGTTTTTGGGAAAGGACAATAAACTAGCCCTCAGCCTTCCCATCAGGAAACCAGGAAAACTGATCAGCTAGACAGGCTTCAAAAGGAAGAGACAGCTGGGAGGCTAAGGTGGAGGGTGGTAAGTTTGAAGCCAGTCAGCACTACTTAGGGAGACCCTGTCTTTAAAAAAAAAAAAAAGAAAAAAGGGTGGGGGGAGGCTGGGAAGATGGCTCAGCGGTAGAGTGCTTGCCTACCATGTATGAAGCCTGGGTTCAATTTCTCAGTACCACATACACAGAAAAAGCCGGAAGTGGCACTGTGGCTCATGTGGTAGAGCGCTCGCCTTGAGCTGAAGGGCACAGGGACAGAGCCCAGGCCCTGAATTAAAGCCCCACAACCGACCAAAAATAAACACCAAAAACAAAAACAAAAAACCCGAAGTGGCATTGTGGCTCAAAGTGGTAGAACATTAACCTTGAGCAGAAGAGCTCCAGGACAGTGCCCAGGTTCTGAGTTCAAGCCCCCACAACCAACCCCAAGAACAAGAACAACAAAAGGCCAAAGGCTGGGAATGTGGCTTAGTGGTAGAGTGCTTACTTAACATGCCTGAAGCCCTGGGTTCAATTCCTCAGTACCACATAAACAAAATCAGAAGTGATGCTGTGGCTCAAGTGGTAGAGTGCTCACCTTGAGTAAAAGAAGCTCAGGGCCAACACCAGGCCCTGAGTTCAAGCCCAGGACAGGCAAAAAAAAAAGGCAAGTGAGATGGTTCACACTTGTAATTGTAGCTGCTCTGGAGACAGAAATCTGAAAATCAACATTCAAAGTCAGGCAGATAAATCCCAGAAACTCTTATCTCCAATTAACCAACAAATAGCTGGAAGTGGAGGTGTGGTAGAGAAGCTAGACAACTGTCCTTGAGCAAAAACCCAAGCAAGACTGCACAGAGCTGGGCATCTGTGACTCATACTTGGTAATTTCAGCTATTCAAGAGGCTGAGATCTGGGCTGGGAAGGTGGCTCAGTGGTAGAGCGCTTGCCTTGCATTCATGAAGCCCTGGGTTCGATTCCCCAGCACCACATACACAAAAAGAAAAAAGTCAGAAGTGGCACTGTTGCTCAAGTGGTAGAGCGCTAGCCTTGAGCTGAAGAGCTGAGGGACAGTACCCAGGCCCAGAGTTCAGGCCCACGACCAGACCCCCCCCCCAAAAAAAAGATATAAAAAAAAAAAAGAGGCTAAGACCTGAGGTTTGTGGTTAGAAGCCAGCTCTGACAGAAAAGTCTGTGAGACTCTTAATTTCCAATTAGCCACCAAAATAAAAGGCAGAAGTGGAGCTGTAGCTCAATTTGTAGGGTGCTAGCCCTGAGCAAACAAGTTCAGAAACATTGCTCAGGCCCTGAGCTCGAGACCCAGCACTGCATCAAAAAATATCAAAAATTCAAGGAGCTGAGTTCAAGCCCTAGTATCAATACACACACACACACACACACACACACTAGCTAAATGGCTGGGCTCCCCAAATATCCAGTATGTTCCCAAACTCTTAGGCTTTGGTTGACAATCCTTTACTTGATGGGAAGGAACATTGTGCTACTCAAAATAAATAAATAGGTAGATAAATAAATAATAAAAAAAAAAGAGCTGTAAGGACAATGTTCAACCAGAGAAAACTGGGATACAACGGGGCTGGGAATATGGATTAGTGGTAGAATGCTTGCCTAGCATTCATGAAGCCCTGGGTTTGATTCATCAGTACCACATAAATAGAAAAAGGCCAGAAGTCATGCTGCGGCTCAAGTGGTAGAGCGCTAGCCCTGAGCACCAAGAGTCTTAGGGACAGAGCCCTGAGTTCAAATCCCTGGACTGGCAAAAAGAAAAAGAAAAGAACAGAAAAGAAAGAAAGAAATTGGAATACAAATTCATTAGCAAATGTTTCTTTATCAACCTAGAAATTCTACTGGCTGCAGTCAGGAACAAGGATGTCCACTGTTGTGCTGTTCCCAGAGGGGATATCAAAGTTACCTCAATGTCTGTCTATGGCTGCAATACGTAAAATGTGATGTGCATGGGGCAGCCTGGCGGTGTAGCCTAGACAGAAGGCGGAAAGTGTGGCTCTGAGAAGTCTCTAAATTGAACTGTGTGAGACTGGGCCAGCAGAGACCCTGGGTTCCACCCAGAAGGTGTGTGCAGGGCTGGGGGGGGGGGGGTAGAGTGAGGGGGAGGGCGGGGAGAGACAGTGGCTCATGCCTAGCTATTCAGGAGGCTGAGATCTGAGGAGTGCTTTTGTAGCATGCATGAAGCCCTGAATTTGATTCCTCAGTACCACATACACAGAAAAAGCCGGAAGTGACGTTATGGCTTAAGTGATAGAGTGCTAGCCTTGAGCAAAAGAAGCCCGGGGACAGTGCCCGGGCCCTGAGTTCAAGCCCCAGGATTGGCAAAAAAAAAAAAAAGCTTAAGGGCCAGTGCCCAGGCTCTGAATTCAAGCCCTAGGACCAGAAAAGAAAAAAAAAAGAAGGAAGAGGAGGAGGAGGAGGAGGAAGAAGAAGAAGCAGCAGCAGCAACAGCCAGATGCTGGTGGCTCACACCTGTAATCCTAGCTACTCAGGAGGCTGAGATCTGAGGATCATGGTTCAAAGCCAGCCCAGACAGAAAAGTTCGGGAGACTCTTATCTCCAATAAACCACTAGAAAACTGGAAGCGGCACTATGGCTCAAGAGGTAGAGCGCTTGCCTTGAGCTGAAGAGCACAGGGACAGCACCCAAGCTCAGAGTTCAAGTCCTACCACAGACAAAAAAAAAAGAAAGAAGGGGGGGAGGGAGGGGGAGGGGAAGGGAAGGAAGGAAAAAAAGATGAACAGTAAATTATTAATAGGGATTACAACCTTGAAGAGGAGTGAGAGAATTGAGCAATTTGAAATGGGATTCCCCCCCTTCCCCCCCTCCCCTCTTTCTGGGGCCAGTGCTCTATTATTTGAGCCACAGCTCTACTTCTGGCTTTTTTTTTTTTTTTTGGCAGTTAATTGGAGATTAAAAAGTCAAGAACTTTCCTGTCTGTGCCGCCTTCAAACCTCTCAGCTTTTTGAGTAGTTAGGATTACAGGAGTGAGCCATTTATACCCAGCTTCTCCTCCTCTTAAATGGCCAAGAATCTTTTTTTTTTTGGGGGGGGGTCTGGTCATGGGGTCTGAACTCTGGGCCTGGGCGCTGTCCCTCAGCTCTTCAGCTCAAGGCTAGCGCTCTACCACTGGAGCCACAGCGCCACTTCCGGCTTTTTTTTTCTCTGCTTATGTGGTGCTGAGGAATCAAACTCAGGGCCTCAAGCATGTA